GAAGTATTCTCATTTTCTCATTACATACTATTTTTATTTCTTCTAGTTAATACATGGATCAGCGCTGCTCTTGACAATAGCACTATCTTTTGCTCCTTGTTTCTGTGACAATGAACACACGATACAAAACTACCAAGCCATACTGTATGGAAACTCTGATGGCAACATTCCTGTCAATCTAGGTTGGGAGACAAGGCTTCAAATAACAAAAGAAAAGCTGTGTTCCATAATCCTTGGAACATGATCATCATGAATGGTAAGAAAAAGCTGGAGAGCAACTGATGATGCAGGAGTGGTCAAGTACAGCTAATCACCGCAGAAAGCAGTCAGTCACTTGTGCCCTGTCCTGGAGAGGCCAGTGATCAAGATTCTCCAGAGACCCTGGCAGGCAGTGGACTGCAGCAGCTAGGGTGATGGCATCTTTGTTACTGTATACTTATATCTGCCATTCATTCAACAAGCATTTAGTGAGCAGCTACAATGTAGCGACACTGATGCTTGAAAAATATGAAAAAGACAAGGTCAATGCTCAGAAGAGTCCCAACATAAATTTGGGAAGAAGAGCAATTCTGGTTCTTGACAAGAGAAAGCAGCTCTGATAATTTATACCAGAAGCCATTTGATGCTTAAAATACATACTGAACTACTTAAAAAGGTAAAACCACTGATAAATATGGAAACAGCTTCTTTGCAAGCAGTGTGGCAATTTCCTGGGGTAGATGCACCAACCTATCCAATGACCTCCATGCCCCAGGCTCTCCCATCAAAGCCTGCTTCTGTCTGTCATCTCACTCAGAATATCTAAAAAGTATTGGACTAAGACATTTTTTTTAACTGAACTAAAAATATCAATTTATACTTTATATCATTATGACTTAAATATTTCAAAGGAATCTAATTCTGGCAAACTTAATAAGAACCTATTCATTATTCAAATTATATGCTTATTTCAGTTTCTCATACCTCAGTTTACATTAAGCAATATTAAATAAAGCAAATTTGTCTTCAAAAAAGTGCAAAGCAGGGTCTTTCTGCATCAACATGAAGATCAATAAGCAGTGCAATGAGGGAGCAGCGTGCCAAGGAAAATCGCCTGCACTGTGTGCAGGCTCCGTGGTGCGACCCTTTGTTTAAGCTCCCACAGACAGATGGGGTTCCTTTGTGTGTGACAACTACATGAAAGAGGAGATCTTGGCCCACTCCACTTTCAGGTTCTCAAGATGAGTGATGTGGGCCTATTTCTAGGAAACCTCTCCAGACATTTCTCTTTAACTTTGGTCTCTCCTTCACTTTCATGAGTGTGACAGGGTCATTGCAACAGCATTTTTAGGGATGGGAAATAGATTATATTGTAGACAAGGTGACAAGGTCTTCTTTAATGCCTGGACAAATGGAATGACAAGAAAGGCAAGCTCCTCAAGGCCAGGGCCCAGTATGCTGATTCACCTTGGACTTGCCGTCAGAGTTAGCACAGTGTGCAATGCTAAATGACTGCTGGGGACAGTACAGAGACTGGGGCTGTTCCTCTTCTTTCCAAGGAAGAAGCGAAGAGGTAAGACAGGACAGTGTGCAGTATGAAAGGCTGTCACTCAGTTACATCTCCCACTTGCCTAAGGTAGCAGATGATTGGGTTTTGCATGCCTGGTTTACACTCTTCAAATATTTATAGACAGTTCTCTTTGCCTCCAGCCCTAGTTGTCACTTAGCCAAGTTATACATACATGGTTCTTTTAATCTTTCCTTAGAAATCAATCCCACTAAGCTCCTTAATCATTCCAGTTGCATTTTCTCTCAACTTTTGGCCGTTTGTCTTTCTGTTGATTTATTCTGTTGATATACATGAAAATAATAAGAATGTAGAACATGATGGGGTTTAGTCACTCTTTCATTTCAAGATTCAATGCCTTGTATGTACAAAATAAAATTATTTATCTTCTTTCCTTTTGTATGATCACATTTTAAAAAATTTGTATTTAAGTTGATGGATCAATCAATACATTGTAAGAGAAAGGAAGAAAAAATATCATCAGTGTTATATTCTCTAAGGATGATACTATCATTGATTGAAACTTCTCCTGTGTCTACAACTGATTGATCTAACCCAAAGCATTCAAATATGGGGAAAGTGGGAATCCAGAGGCACACGGTCACACWGACAGGCTTAAATGCCTGCCCTAAGGTTTTGTCTATATGTGTATACTTCTCATTAAATTCACCTTAAAAAAAAAAAAGGCAAGAATTTTTTTGGACAAGACCCCAAACGTAGGAAACAAAAGTAAAATCAGACAAATGGGATTACCTCAAACAAACTAAAAGGAAGCCATCTACAGAATGGGAGAAAATAGGTCCATCCTATACATCTGGCAAAGGGTTCATACCCAGAATATATAAGGAACTCTAAAAACTCAGTAGCAAAAAACAACCTGAATTAAAAATGCACAATTGATCTAAACAGACATTTCTCAAAAGAAGACACCCAAATGACCAACAGACATGAAAAAATGCTTAACATCCTAGTTATCAGGAAAATGCAAATCAAAACCACAATGAGATATTACCTCAACATACCAAGAATGACTCCTATAAAAGATTCAAAAATAACAAGTGCTGATGAGGATGTGGAGAAAAGGGGACCCTTTCACACTGTAGGTGGAAATGTATAGTCATGTATAGTATATGTATATAGTATATGTATATACGTATATAGTCATGTATAGTCATGATGGAAAACAATAGCAGGKGTTCCTTAAATATTTAAAAACAGAACTATCATATGTACGACCCAGCAATCACAGCATTGGGTATCTATCCAAAGGAAATTAAATCAGTATGTTGAAGAGACACCTGCCCTCCCATGCTACTGCAGCTCTATTCAAGCCAAGAAAAGGAAACAACCTAAGTGTCCATCAGCTGGTGAATAGATAAAGAAAATGTGGAGGTAGTATGCAATGGAACACTACTCAGCCATAAAAAGAATGAAATCCTTTCATTTGTGACAACAAGGATGGAAATGGAGATTGTTTTAAGTGAAATAAGCCAGTCACAGAAAGACTAGTACCATGTAATCTTATTCACATGTGGAACCTAAAAAAATTGGTGTCACAGAATTTGGGAGTAGACTGGTGGTTACCAGAGGCCGGGGAGAGCTGGGCAGTGGGCAGTGGATGGACAAAGAAATTCTAGTGGCTACTGCACAGGAGGGTGACCACAGATTCCATGGTATACATTTCAGAAAACTGGAAGAAGGATTTTGAAAGCTTTCACCAAAAAAGAAATGATAAATATTTGACAGATATGTTGAGCTGGGAGTGTGGCTTAGCAGTAGAGTACTTGCTGAGCATGCACAAGCCCTGGGTTTGATTCCCTGCACTATCACATAAATAAATAAATATAATAAAATATATAAATAAATATAATAAAATATATAAATAAATATAAGTAAATAAATAAAAATAAAAGAGTTTAACCTGACTTGAACATTACACAGTGTATATACGTATTGAAATGTTACGTGGCATCCCTTTAATATAATTTTTGTTTCTATATATCAGTTAAAAATAAGTATAAAAATTTTAAAATTACAAACATTAAACATTTCACCATTATAAAAATATCACATTAAAGAAAACTTTAAACAATAAGTAGGGAAAAATTACCTATAATCTACAACCCAAAGACAAAATTTAGCATTTTTGTCTGATTTTTTTTTTTGGTGGTGGTGGTGGGGATCGAACCCAGGGCTTTGTGCATTCAAAGCAAGCACTCCACCAACTGAGCTATATCCCAGCACCCAAATTTAGCATTTTTAAGTTACAGTTATCATTTTTATAATGAGCCTACTTATAATCCACTTTCTTATCATTTTTTAAAGAATATATTGTCATTGATGATAGCCATTATGTTGTACAATAGGTCTCTTGAACTTTATTCCTAGCTACCTAAAATTTTATAGCAAAGTTTTGACCAACATCACCCTGCACTGCCTCTCTACTTCTCCAGCCCTTGGGAACTACACCATTCTATCCTCCAACTCTAAGATCAACCCTTTTAGATTCCACACTTGAGTAAGATCATGTAGTATCTGGCTTTATTTTACTTAACATAATGCCCTCCAGATTAATTCACATTGTTGCAAATGGCACTTTGTCTTTATGGTTGAATAGTATTCCGCTGTGTATATATCACACTTTCTTTACCTATTCATCCATTAATAGATGCTTAAGTTCCTTTCCCATCTTGGTTACTGTGAAAAGAGCTGCAGTGAGCATGGGAATGCAAATGTTCCTTCTACATACTGATTTCATTTCCTCTGGACACATACCCAGGAGTGGGAATGCTGGGTCATAATGGCAGTTCTGTTCTTAAATTTTTGAGGAACTTCCATATTGTTTTCCAAAATAGTTATTATAAAAATTACCTATAATTTTTATAATAACTTAGCATTTCTGAACAATTTCATTTAAACCTTTTTTGATGCAACTCCCCAGAATATACATGATCATACTATTTGCACTGTATAACACCTTGGCCTTTTACTTAATATTACAACACAAAATTTCATGTACAGCATTTTCTTCAAATCATCATTCTTAACAATTACAGATCATTTCATCAAGTAAGGGGATGTGCCATAATTTTATGATTCCCCACTGTTGGACATTAACATTGTTTTTATTTTTTCTTGAGTTTAAATTTTTTACCACAGAAAATCTTCATAAAGCTTTTCTATGTTTAAGATTATTCCTAGAGCTGTAATTTTAAAATCAATGGGCCAAAGGATATACATACAGTAAATTTTGAGGTAAAGAGTCAAGGGAAGTGAAGTGAAAAATACCACCTAAGTACAAAGATTTGTCTTTTGGCTGTGATGCTAACCAGTGAATGCTCAAATCTTAGGAAGGCATAAACAATTGTCAGAGATGAAGCATTCTAATAAATCAAATGTTATACCTGCAGAGTCCCACTCTTCTTATTGACTGAGCTGAAACTCTGAACCTTACCTAGATCTACCATCAGAAGGCGAGTGAGGGCTGTGTAGAAGGTTGTTCGGCACCTGAAGTCACTGAGACTGTAACTGTCACTGATGCCAAGAAAGGGGAAGTGTTCATTCTAATGAAAGCAAAAAGTATCCAAAGTTACCAATGCTTGATCTAAACTACCCAGAACATTCTAGTCATTGATTAAGAAATTAAGACTTACCGTGTGGTTCTTCAGCATAAACTTCACAGCATCTATTTTCACAAGTTTTTTTAAAAGGATATAGGTATTAGAAGTTAAGGAATCCAAGGAAATATTTTTGTCTTATCAATATGTAATAAGTCACAAAATAACACCGGACTAAAATGGCATCAATTTGTACTTATGAAGAATAAATATTATTTCAATAGTATTCCTATAGAAACATTTTCATCCTGTTAAGAATGATAATCCATTATTAACCAGTGCAATTACTTTTCCATTTTATACATATTCTAGTTATGGAAAGGAAGAATGAGTTTTATAATTAAGACAAGAACTCCTTTACTATTAAAGTCTTGATAGTAGAAAATTAAAACTGACCCTTTTACATTTTACGTATAACTTGAGAATTTTTTTTTACTTAATGTTATTTCATAATAAAATAATTATAAAATACCCATAAGAGGCTATCAAGGAAGAGAAAATTATTAAATTCTAAGAAACAATGAGCTCAGTCAGCAGAAGGCTAAGATGAGAACATGGCAGGAGGAGAACTAACAGTTCTCCGGTGGAATGGAAGGTGTTTTTCCTGTTTTTCTACCTCACCTTCATAATTAAGCTGTTATTAAGATTATTTATAATTTCCAGTATGTAAAGAAGAAAACAGAAGCTCAGAGAATTGAATTGCTTGCCCAAGATTACACAGCTGTGGGCTGGCAGTGCTGAGACTGAAGCTGAGGCTTAGCTCTGCAGACCTTGCTGTGTCCATTGTACCACACTCTACAGCTGAACTCAGAATAATAAATTGAGAAATCATAAAAATTAACATAAGACTTAAAGAATTTCTAGTGAGATGTGGGTGCCCAGCACATCTACTCAGTGTGCAAACACCCGCTTTCTGTAGTTGTGGGTTTTTACTGTCCCTCGAGCATCCTGCCCTTGTCTATATTCCCACTCATGTCTTTCTGGAAGGCTGGCTCCATTCATGTCACAATGAAAACCCTGGCTCCTTTCCCTCATATCGTCTCCAAATACAGAATTCTGTAAACTGTCCTGTACAGTGGCACTGAAAAGCATAATTCTAAATTTTAGTTGCTCAGGTGTGGGTGTAAGAGAGGAGGAAACCTGGGCTTTGGCTCGATCACATCATCCATCAGCCGGATGAGTCTTGAGTGGTRTACTCAGCCTGAACCTTAGTTTCCGTCACCAACAAACAAGGAGGAAACCTATGCCCCAGCGGGCCTTACAGGATTGTTCTGAGGGTCAAAGGATGCAAATGTCTTTGCCAACTGTGTCAGGGCAGAGATTTTACAGAATGGATACTATTTGAAAGACTAATTCTCATAATTCCAGGAGATAGGTAGTATCACTTCTATTTTCAGACGCCAAACAAATTAAAAAAAAAAAACTTTCTAAAACAAAACCAATTGGTATGATTTAGATTCAAGTCCCTCTGACACCAAGGTGACCATTACAGTTGCACATCTATGTGGCTCATCTTCATATTAGACTGACAGCTTTCTCAGGGCAGGGCCTACATCCATGCATTTTTCTCAGTAAGCTGCCCAGTGGGGCTCTTGATGCATGGTTTTCTGGCAGGCTGAAGGGCAACAGATCAGATCTGACAGGGAGCAAGTTTTCTCCTGCACTCAAAGATGCAGATTGGATGATTTTACAAAATCATCAATCATGGAATAGAACTGTCACTCAAGCTTCACTCAGTTAAATAGGGGTGGGGATCAATAAACTTAGAAATATCTTAAGTAATTACCAAATACAAATCTCTTAAAATTGCAAAGTTAAAAGTGACAGGGTCTATGGGTAATACAAATGCTGCCATTAACAGGAATCTTCCTGTCATGCTGTTAATAAACAGCAAGTCATGTTTTGACAATAGAATATTTATGGAAGCAATAAACAGAACATTCACAGGAAGAATCTCATCTGCCAAAGACACATTTTCTGCAGAACTGCATCTGTGCACTTTGTACCAAGGCCAGCTTCACTGCCTTTTAATTATACTAAAAAAAAAATTAAGAATTTTTACCTTTTTCAATGAAGAAAAAAAATGAGAATTCATCTGAATATTTGTATTTCCTTAAAGGAATTCAATTCAAAATCAGATATGGTCTTAAGAAGATTTGTGAAAAAGGGCAAACAGACATACTTTTATGATCTTTATGCTTTCATCTTATTCTTCTCTAAGAGACCAGGGCTCTTCTGGTAAATTGTGTCATTTTAATTGGGTAGGAGCACTAGATGGACTCTGGCAAAACCAGGTTAGATTTCAGAGGCCTGCAGCTCCCAGCAGCAAACGTGGTAATGGAGCTAACTACAACAGCCACCGCACTACAAGTCTTAAGTAATGAGAGAATTAAGCAAAGGTCAGACGTGGAACTTGTAAGTGGTAGAGTAAAGGTTCCTACCCAGGTCTGTCTTAAAGCATAAGCTGTCCTCATGAGGTTCCATCACATTCATTTGATTTTAGAGAGGCTAGTGTTTGTTCCTTCAAAGATCTAACTAGCTCCTTGAAATACAACTGAAACTGGAACTAGGTCCAGAAGAGTCAGGGAAATCTTCTCTTTTAGGAGGAACAGGACACACATCCAACAGGACATACCACTGTTTGGCTAATACTAACTCACTAACCAAAATTTCCAGAAATTCATGTCTCCCTGTGGTTATTAAAAACACGGAGAAAGGTGAAGATAGTCTTCCTCAGGCTAGCACGACCAAAGGAGAAAGGCAAGAAAAGATCAAGAGAATGGCTTATCTTATAGATGTTGAAAATTTGGAAAATCTGTATCTTTTGAAGAGTAGGATAACTAAGTCAGGAAGGAACTGGTTTGTTTGTCTGTTTCTTTCTTTCTCTCCTCTTTCTCTCTTTCCCTCCCTCCCTCCCTCTCTCTCTCTCTCTCTCTCTCTCTCTTTCTTTCTTTCTTAATATTTTTTAGTTGTAGATGGACACAATACCTTTATTTATCTATCTGTATGTGGTGCTGAGGATTGAACCCAGGGCCTCACACATGCTAGGAGCACTCTACCACTGAGGCACAACTCCAGACCAGAACTGGTTTCTTAAGTTACAGGAGAACCACACTCTTTACTCTCTACACAGCAGCACAAATTATAGCTTCAACCCATGGCAGGAAACCTTCACTGACATCCACCATATTTCACCCAATCTAAAACACCATCCATGTAAAAGTACCATTATTTTAGGTATATTAAAACTTTTTTAAAAAAAGGTAGTTAAAATACCATCAACTCTAAGACATAGCCTAATTACAAAAGTATTAAAATGTGAAAAGTACATTTAAGAACTGGAATAGTATACTAGATCCTGAGTATAAGCAAGGTAGATAAAAGATGATGAGAAAGAAATGATGAGGAGAAAAAAAATGAAAGAAATATTTAGTAAGCACTAAACAGTGGAGGATTACAACTACTTAAGGTCAGGTTACTAAATCTTTAGCAAGAACTGAAACTTTGAAAGGGACCTAGTTGTTTATAATGTGCCTAAGAAGGGAGAATGGCTCCCAGTGTGATTCAGTAAGAGGCAAGGGCATCAAAGGAAGGCACATAAATGTCCTTGGCCCAAGTACAGAGCACAAATTGTGGCTAAATGATAAATCAGGAAATTAGTTATAGGAACTCAATGTCAAGTACCATTAAAGGACTCAAATTCAAATCAATAATTTTACTTTGACCTAAGAATCAAATGGAAGTGATTCTGGGCTTTTGGGAAGCAAAATGATCAGATCAACCATACTTGAGGAAGGTAACTCTGTGGAACAAAAATCTGAAGAACTTGGAGAAGGTCTGAATAAGGTTACAGAAGAGGAATAGAGGGGGTTGCCACATCTGACGCTACCACAGAAGTGAACAGAGGAGACAGATTATGGGGTGACTTTTCCATGGCTGACAGAAAGTAAATCAGCATTTCTTTTGATGAGAAATGTTAACAGAAGTGTGCCTGAGGGATGTGTGCTGCGACTAGTTTTATTTAACATTCTCACAAACCATCTGGAGATGGTGGTACATTCAGCAGAATGAATCCATGCATTTTAACAGTATACCACAAAAGCAGAATTATTAGTGTTTTATTACTATTGTCCTGTAACAGACACTCCCGTTTTACTGCCATCCGTTACTGTCAATTCATTCTGGGCCTTTGCTTTGGCTCTCATCCTCTATTCTTTCCTGACCACCATTCATATTCAGGATTCACAATCTCAGTGGTGGAAAGGTCAGGGACATGGGGTGGGTGTCTGGTTTGCACATTACTTGGTTATTTAAAAAATATTAAAGCTAATGGTTTGTACATCAGGAAAACCTAAATAACCTTGAATAAAAGGGCTCCCTTTAAGTAGTCATATCACAACGTTAGATAACCACACTATTTTTATGTGTAAAATTTCAGAAAATAAGTATGCAATTTACTTGTATTAAATTAAAAAAAAACTACTTTAATAAATTAAACAACTGACTTTGGGTTCTTAGGAAAAACATAGGAAAGGAAGTATGGAATCAGAGTCAGGTCTATTAGAATTTAAAACCTGTGAGGGAAGGGTCTGTGTCATATTTGTCCATCTGCACTGTCCTTAGTAATCAAACACTAAGTATTTGCTGAACTGAAAGAGGCCAATAAGAAAAAGTCCATCATTAAGATGTATATGGAATTAATCTAAAAATCATTATTCTCTTCTCATTCAATGTAGTATGTAGGCATATCTGGTTACTGAGAAATAAAGCAAAGACAAATGAAGTCARGAAAGATATGAGGTTGAAAAAAATAAAATCATCATGATGATCAAGTTGCTTTGATAGGAATCGAACCCTGGCTTGCAAAACTCAAAACAACTGAAATAAACTGATAGATTTATAATACATGCAGAAATTTGCCAAATTCCAGTGTAAAGCAACTTAGGGAGAGCCCCCAAAGTCTTTGAGTTTGACTGAGGCCAGAGGAAGGAATTCTTTCTTTCCACCACAGGCAGGCAGGCAGGCAGGCCAGCTTCCCAGTGTGCTGGCTGCACCTTTGCACAGGGCCCTGTGCTTAGGAAGGCCTAATCTTGGTTGAATGCTCTGAGGCAGAGGACTTGAAAAACCTTAACTTTCTAACAAGGGACCCACAGGTTTCATTTTGTATTTGACCCTAAGAATTATGTAAGTGGTTTTGCAATAACAAGAATTACTGAGGTTAGCAGTACTAATAAAGTAAAATCTGAGTTTAGATAAATTCGTGAAATGATGTAGCACCCTTTTTATGGTTTTTTAAAAAAATTTTTTCAGATGTTGGTGAACCTTTATTTTATTCATTTATTTATATGCGGTGCCAATGCCTCATGCATGCTAGGAATACGCTCTACCACTGAGCCACAACCCCAGCCCTATAGGGTCTGTTTTTAAAAAGCTAAAGATATTTTGGGTTTTCTCAGTTTTGAGGATTATATAATAAAGGAAAACTACCAATAGAGGGCCCGACATCTCATTACTAGACATTTGAAACTCAAAGTAAGACTTTATGTTGCTATAAATTTGAGTAAATAACAACAGCAATATTGATCAATTATTTAAGAATAACTCCAAATCATGGCTAATGAACAAACAGAATTTTGAATGAAATGCAACATTTTCTTCTCTTTTCCTCAGCATTTAAAATTGGTAATCTGATTACTCTTGTAAAATTCTTATTTTCTTTCTACTCTCCCCAGAAGTTTTCTTATCTCAGTCACTTGAACAATCTCACACCTTTCCCATTTAGACAGAAATTAGAACTTCAGAGAAGAAAACATTTCAGAGGGCAAGAATTGCCACACGGGGAACTAGATGCTGTGGAGGGGCTGGCCCAGGACAGAGCGGCTTTAGCTCTGCGTACACCAGAAGGAGCTACTTGGGATAAGGAATTCTTGAAATTTCACCTTGGAAATTTAAAGAGTACATTAAAAAAAAAATCCCAAAATATATTTGCTGAATGTATTATATATACCCTGTAATGAATCTGATAGAAAAATTTAAGACTTCTCTAAAAAAGAAAATTGAATTTAAAAATTACAATAGTCTTAGGAATTTAGAAAGTTCAAATTCAGCAAATGGCAACTTTGGGTTCAAAGGTAACAGGTTATTTGATTACAACCTGGGAGTTCATGGAAAGGCACATTACCGTTTGGGGAACTAGATTACTCTATCTCTAAAAATGTCATGTCTGCCTATTTCTGGTATGGACAAAGTCCTATGAAGAAATGTCTGTGGGAAAAGCACCTGGCTTTATGCTCAGGGTATGTAATTCAGCTCTTCCCTAATTACTTAGAGGCAGAAATTCTCCAAGTATGGTCAGGCCAGGGCCTTACACCTCCAGAAAAAGGAACTCTGGGAGGCGGGGCCTGACAATCTGTCCTGATCAGCACTCACATTCCAATGCTCACTAAAGCTCAAGGCCACTGCTTGAAGGCAACTGAAGACTTTTTAGCAATTCGTAAAAATGAAGATGTTTTGAAATTTCAATTTTGGAACAAGTGATCGGATCAAAGAATACCAAAATTCAGGGACTGGCTTTGGGCACCGTAAATATGAGTTCAGTTCACCAGAAGCAGATAAAACAGCAAAACCAAAACAAAGTATCTGAAGACATGTACTATAAAGAAATAAGGAACATTTAAAAACTTAAGAAGACAATATGTTTTTCATTYACTTAATAACAATATTTTGTACAACATTTTCAATATTAATATACAGATTTTCACTAATAGAAGCCAATGGGTGATCCTTTTTATTTTGCTCAACTTTCCATTGCTGAAGAAGGCTGTCTTAATTTTAACACAGAAATAATGCTTGCTTTAAAATCAAAATATAAAACTATATCATAATGAAGAAATCATTTGGAAACAGCAAAACATATTGGTAACCAGTGACTGCACTGAAATAGATACACCACTCACATATTCCATTATGTAAATGAACTCAAAGATATTTCATGACTGATCAGCTAGAAGGGACATAATGATTTATAATTCAAATAACTGAGCACTGAAATCAAATTGAGCTAATATATATTTCTAAATATGCAAACCTGAAATAATTGTTAAAAAATATAAATCAATGTACCCATGTTGAGATCATTTGTATCCCTTGGTTTAAAATGTTACAGCTTTTAAACTTTTATCTAATAAGTTTTCTGAAAATATGATTTTTTATTAACTTCAAGAAGTACTCAAAAGCAATAAACAGCTTATAAAATAAAAGGTTATAATATTTGGATTAAAGAATATATAAGGGGCATAATATGATAGAAAAAGAATCTTAAATAGCAGATACAAATAAATTAGACATTATGCAAATTATACTAAAAAGAATACAGATCAAATTAATTTTATATTAAATATCAATTTCAACCTAAAAAAATGAGATAAATCTAAACAATAGCTATGTGCTATAAAATAACCAAGGCTTCTTTCCAGATAATATGCTCTCCAAGTAATTCATTGTGAAAAGGCCAGAGTTTGCAATACTAGGAAGTACTTATAAACCACTTCATATGTTAGAAATAAAGAGTATTTCAGCATTATTATTAGAAAAAATATATAGGTTGAGATTTTTTTAATAAGAAAAAATACATATCTTAAAAAGCCAAAATGACCACTGGAATTGGGTTGTACATCACTTTCCAGTAAAAAGGAAAAACAGCCTGGACAGGTGTAATTTATCATTTTTCTGATTTAATATCAAAGAAATATATTAAAATAATAAAAAGAATCCTGAAATCCTCAAAATTTGTAGTGATAAATAGCCCTCCCTGTCTTTATTGCATTATACCTACTAACAGAAATATTGCATGGTGGATTTTGCCAGACAAGGACGATTATTTTCCAATAAAAAGTTGCATATTAAATTCCAGCACAAAAGTGGGTGTCTAATACTTTGGAAATCTCTCACGGTTTACCAAGGAACACAATTTTAAACTTAACTAATACAAACATATTCCTGGGATGAACCTACATTAAAGGTTTCCATCCAAAGCTACCCGTTTCCGGAATTTGTCCTCATATTAAAATATCAGCTAATTTTAGTGGTAAACTGACCCAACATTTATTTTTCAAAACACGTATCTGATAGTGAACATACTAGACAACCTACATGGTTCCTTCTCACTGGTAGAAATATGAGCACAATAACAACTATAATCTAGTGAGAAAAAAAATCATTTCTGGTTTTAGGTTTAAAAAAATCTGCTAGAGAGAAAAATTTAAATATTTAATGTGGCACAGGAAATTGACTTTAGAATAGATAAGAGATTAATTTGGTGATGCCAATAATCAAAGTAGTCAAAAAGCCCATCATKTCTTCCTATTACTCCTCTGGGCTTTTCGATTAACAAAAATCATGTTCTTTTCCACTGAGAAACAATACAGAGATATTTACTCTTAGATACTCAAGTCATTATAAGGTAATATTTTTAGAACATTTCGCTCTTCTTAACATTAGTTATGTGCTTCCTTTTAGAAAATGGTGTGAGAAAGATGGACACATGGCTGCCGCTCTCTCTGTAGCCACTCATTACCCTGTGACTATAAACAAAGGTGACGACTTAGGAATCCACATATCCACGTGCATTCAACTAGGACTCTGAATAAAAGCCTCATGGCATACAGCTATCATAAATCTTTAAAAAAACATGCATTGATAGATAATGCTGAATGAAAAAAATTCTTATTTTTAAAAAAACCTACAAAATTTATAAAGAAGGAAAATACGTGGCAAACAGAATGCACTTATTAGATTATTAATATGTATTATCAGATGTACAATGAAAAGGATATCCAACAGAAAGGTCATTTAGGAACTGAAGAGTCCTTGAAATTACAGGCTCACATCTTCCCCAGTATTTAAGGTTTGTAACACTAAATGCGAAAGAAAAGTTTTAACTTATAAGTAAGATATTTGCTTAAGCAGGAAGAACATAAAAACATACTTATGTAAGTTAGATGATCTAACTAACAAAACAAAAAACAGGTTGCAATTCTAACAGAACATGTTCTACTCTTTTTATAGCATATGAAATTTTGTACAGTCAATCCACAATAAACATAGATCTCTAAAAGGTGCATAATTCTATAAATTTAGTTTTGTAAATTAAAAAGTGATTTAAGTGTTTTACAGAAGAAATATTAAGTATGTAACCAAAACTAGAGAGTGAAGCAGGAGTCACAAAGGAAGTCAGATAGAGGCTCATGGTTACTGCTAAAAAAATGAGCCATCAGATTGTGGTTTTAAAACTCACTTCTCACTATCACAACTGTTTAGCTGGCTTTGCTCTCTGTAAGCAAAGCAGTGCTATCTACCGGTAAAACAAAGTTTCCAAGTAGAGACACACAATAAACTTAGGCTAAATATACAAAGTTATGTCTGTGACTAGAAACCAGTTAATTCTGCTAGAATTATAAAGATAATTCAGGACACTTCTGGTGAACAGGTCTCTTGAGTGTCGTAGGTTCCTGTGTGAACCAATACATGTCCTACCTTAAGACACCTGAACCTCCCTCACTCAGTGTTCCAACTCCCAAAAAACTCTTCAGCTGGTCTTTGAAATTCAGTATTTTATTTTACTACTACTACTACTACTACTACTACTACTACTACTATTACTACTACTACTACTACTACTAATAATAATAATAATTAGAAGAAGAACAAGAAGGAGAAAGCTGCTCTGAAGAGTCAGGGCCTGTTATCTTTTTAGACCACGTGCTGATGCAGCCTGCTTACAGTGGCAAGGACGCCTTGGAACATTACTGTGTCTTCTGCACAGTGAGTTGTAAATGTGAACGTAATGCTAACATTGTAGGAAAGCAAAATCTTAAAATTTTATTAAAAATTAATATATGTAAAGAGACTAAAATACAGTAAAAGGATCTATGAGGTTTAAAACAACAGAAGAAAAATTAAAAACCAAAATAGAAACTCACATTTTCGTCATGAATGTTTCTAGAACATGGTTGTCATCTGTAATTCCTAATACTTCTGACATACGGGCATATACCTGCATGAAAAATTTGTTTTAAAAAGCTTTATCATTAACATATATTTTCAAAGGAGTATTCAAATTGAACCAGTTGAGATTCAATGCACTGTTGCACCCACACTGAGGCAGGGAGTGGGTGGAAGGAGTAAACCAAAGAGTTTTTAGAAAATTGTAAGTCTAAAATTTATTAACTTTTCCCTTTAAAAGTGACCTCTGATTTGAAATCATTACACACCTGTGCACAAACACACTCACATATCCATTCTATAACCATCACACTCGACTCCTTTTTGCTCAAGTGGAAGAGTGCCCCCTCCCTGACAATGTGAGAGGTATGCAGAAGGCTGGCAAAGGGGATGTTCCTGTCCCTCCAGATTCCAACAGCCCATCAGCTAACTTAGGTAATACACGGCAAGTATCAAAATAAGGACTTCAAAACTAAAAATTAAATTCATAGAAATTCTCCTCAAACATTCCCAAATATAGAAGTAGGTCTTACTTTAATGCTGAAACTGAAATCCCAAGCTCAGGGATTCTCTGTTGCAAATACCAGCCTGGGAATCCACTAAACTTCTGATTAGCGTATGCTGATTTCAGAATTGGGGTGCAACATTCAGTCCCAACCCAAGCCAGCTGAGCTTATAAACAAAGCCCACCTCGAGTGGGAGAATGCCACCAGCAGCCAATGGAACGGCATCTAGTAGCCTGGCAGAGCTGGAGGTGGGTTGACACCTTTGTACTCCCTGATGCTCTGGTGTGATTCCAGGTTGTCCCTGCCAGACACCAGCTGCCTGGGATTTCTCCTCTGTGTTTTGGTCCTCTGTGATTGTGTTCTCCCACCTTCTCCTGATCTGCTGATTTCCTGAGGATGGCACTGTAGCTTCCACTCCTGCTTTTTGTTTTTCATATTTAAACACCAGCCTGATAATCTGCCACAGGTCACAAAGGCAACATAATACATAAGGCACCACAAATTTCCCAGTTATAGAATCATGCAGGGGAGAGAAGCTGTTCATCACAGAATCCCCATTTTTAGATTTTTAAACGCTGCTTGAATGAGAAGTTTGCATTCTAGCTTTCAAACTGTGAGCCCTGTGCTGGGAAGGCTCCTGCTCAGTCTGGGAGGGCAAATGGGAAGGAGGGAGAGGAGAAGAGGAGGGGGAGAAGGACAGAAGGGGCACAACAGTGGAGAGAAGCCGGGAGGTGGAGAGGGACTTCCACATTTCTGTTCTCCTCAGTTAACTCCAGAGCCCTAAGAAAAGTGTTTCAGTGACTATGAATCTGTGACTTTACCCTGGAGAGCTGGCCTTTATCTCTTATAAGACTGGAGCAACCATGGAGCCTCCAAAGATGTTTGCCTCAAAGGGAGAAGCTGGCGACCAGCARTCATCGATGATCAGAAACCTTTAAGCATGAAGGGCTCAGAAGAAGAATGGTTTAAAGAAATGGAAGTTTCCCTTAGTTTGCCATGATTCAAAACTTGTCATAGAAAGRAGCATTCAAACTGGGTCCCCTGGAAAACCTTAACTGAAATGACATATGCCACACAGAATCCTTTCCACCTCGCCCCAACCTACCTCATCTTCCACTACCTGCCCTCCATCCACCTCAGGCCTTTCCTGCCATTTCAGATCTCTCTGTCCACAGGCTCTTCATTTTGCCTGGATCAGTCTCCTTGCTCCTCTTCCTGATTCCCATTCCAAAGTCCTTCCCTCTGAGGCCTTACCAGCCCTCCAGGAGTGAGCTGCCGTCCCCGTCACGTTCCCACAACGGCTGACCCTCTCCTCCTCTGTGGTGTGCGTTCACACTGTAACTGCCCCACTACACAGACAGCTCCTGGAGGGTGATACTATCCCTATTCTTTGTGTCCCAACACCTGAGATGTTATTTCATATGGTTACTACATGTGTGTTTAATGTGAAAACCAAAAGCCATGGTTTGGATCCACAGGACTATATTATGATGTGAATATTACACATGAAAAATGAAGATTCTTCTTATGAAGCAGATGTTGCATTCTATAAGCAAAAGATGAGAACCATAATTACAAGAGAAAAATAAAAGCAGAGATTAGTTTGTATTGTTATTTTAATCTGTGAATTTCTAATAGCTGATATCTTTGAACTTAATTTTTAGTAGCACTCTTGGYCAAATGACATCTTTCAAGTAAGCTGAGATCTTAAAACCAGACAACAATGGGGACCTGGCACCCTGCTGTCTGTCCTCTCCTGCCTGCCTTGCTCTTTTCCAAGGCCACAGACTGCGCCCTTATCTCTGGATGGCATTTTAAAGGCACTTTCACTTGACAAAGACGAAAGCATGAATGGATTTGCTCTGACTGGCCCTGTACAGTGAAAGCACTCTCTCCTGGCAGCCACAGGACTGCCTTTACAGACACAGGACATTAACCATGAATTTCACATTTTTGTATGTTGATTTTTTGGAAAGGACATGACTGTAGCATTGTCTCAACTGGCCTATTTTATTTTTATTGTATTTACATCTTCCTTTCTCTGTTATCTCTTGGTTTATTTTCTTGTTTTGGACCATAGGATGATTATCCTATACTTTTGTCAAATCAAATTTTACCTTTTCAAGGCTTTATAAATGATAAATTTTTATGGCAGAACTCACAATTAATCCAAGTTTTCTTTTAACTATGCCACACTGAATAACAAAATGTAATAACTAGAATGTGATTTTAACATTTAAAACATTTTTAAAGGTGTATCTTTWAAAAATTGATGGTTCCTACCAGAAGATTTCCTGGTGTGACCCTGGCTGGCACACAAGAGGGGAAGCTAGGCAGGCAGGTCTGTTGTGCTCTGCTGTCAAAACAGTTTCCTCAAAGCACCGGATTTGAACCAATAACATACTAGAAAAAACAGTCAACACTGACACATGGCAGTGCTTTAATCCACAATTACCCTGTAACTTGCACTGTTCCTTTTATCATCCATTAGCTTTGATTCCCATTATCCCATCGAGAACTGTGTCAACGCTTTTGTCCTTGGGGACTTCTCTCCACTACTAGGATCTGACAGTCAAGCTTGAGTACTAAACAGGATCATTACCTCTTAAATCCACTTATCTGATCTACTGAATAGTAAATTGAAAAGCTCATTAAGAGCAACAATCTGATTTGTTTTCACGTGTGACAGGGTCATTTAAAATCAATGTATGATTACAGCATTTCTTTTAAAAGACTGTCTCACATTTTCCAAGGCACCTTATCATTCAGAGAACTTGCAGATAATATAAAAACATCTCCAATACAATTTAATTAGGTCACAGACATAGATAATTTGGGGGTGGGAAGTAATTTGTTCAGTGAGGAAATATCTACAAAATTCTATATAAAGTATAAGTCAAGGAAAATTTCTACAGAAAATAATTCTAATGCAAGATTTATAGTCTTTAACATTTTCTACACCTTTTTTTTTTTTTAAAATCACTTCACCAAAAATACTTTCTAACGACAGCAAGAAGAAACCCCAGCACAACACCCATTTTAAAGAAGCATACAGGAGCTGGCGTAGGGATGAAAAGAAAAGGAAAAAAGCCCTCACTTTCACTTCAAGATTCCTACTCTTTTATTTTCAGAATCTTCAAGATAATTTAATTATAATGAAAAGTAAGCAAAAATCTAAGAAACGCAAGTCCCAGTTGTTAGTCCTTCTGCAGAGGAGGATGACGCTACAGTGACAGGTACGTGGCTGTGCCGGTGGTCACTGTGCACACAGAACTACACACCTGCAGGCAAATCCCCGATGCCTCACCCCCCTCTCTTCTTTACTCCTCCTTTACCCCACCTGCTTGTCTTTATTAGACTACAGCTCCCTGCGGGCAGGGGAGGGAGAATGTGGCTGTCCTCCATGTGCACCATGCCTACTGCTTCACAGTGTTTGTTAGGGTTGCACCTGGAAAATGTACATTTCATTCAGTGCCATTTCATTCCTAATTTTATTTATTAACAAAAGGAAAACACCCATAAAAGCATGTTTTTCTTGCTTTGCTTCTAAAGAATTTTTCTTGTAAATATATATTTTTTTAATATTTATTTTTTAGTTTTCGGCTGACACAACATCTTTGTTTTTTTTTTTTTTTTTTTKGTATGTGGTGCTGAGGATCGAACCCGGGCCGCACGCATGCCAGGCGAGTGCGCTACCGCTTGAGCCACATCCCCAGCTCTCTTGTAAATATAATATATTTAAAATCCAGCTCCCAAGGAGGGAATAGTAGCAAACTTTCCGTTATTCAAAAAGGTGTGGTTTTAATGCTTGCAAGTTCCTGGAGAAAGCCTGTCCCGCAGAGCCAATTGGAAGAGTTCTTCTTTAAGTGCTCAGAGCATCCACTGCTGGGAGCCTGGTACGTGTGCTTCTCTCATCACGTGACAGAACGTGACTTTGGAGTACAGCTTTCCCTGTGAATTGGTACCTCCACAATTTCAAGTGTGTGCTCCCTGGGGGTAGGGGAGACATCTGTTTTAGTGGCACTTAAAACACTGTCTTGATGAACTTAGCAAAGGAAAAATTGAATAGTTTTGGTCCCAAACATATCTGAATTTCAATTCTGGTTCTGCCACGAACTAGGTGTTGCTTCAAGTCTTTGAATCTTTGTTACTTATCTATCAACAGGAATGATAACCATATACTTCATACTCTATGGGTTTCTAGAAAAATTAAATGATAATGGTTCCTGGCATTTAGTAGTTACTACAAATGCTAGGCTCCCCTCTGTCCCCTTTCATGAACCCTTCTGCACAGCAAGGTACTAAACTGTCTACTAATACCTTTTTAAGGCAAGGCCCTTCAGATAAAAAATAACAGGAAGGTAGGAAGTGCTTCTCCTGCAGCCATTCACATAGCAGAAAGATAACAATCAAAACCAAAACCTTGAAATGTGCATTAATAACTGGAATCTTTATGTGTTCAATGAACACATTCTAGTCTTAGAAACTGTATTCATTAAAGGCACAGAGCAAATGCTTCAAAATTTCATGATACGAAACCCAAATT